TTTTTGCTACTAAACCATTTTATTATTTATCGCGTATTTATCAGCCTATTCTCGAGGCCGAAGGAATAGAGTTTGACATACATTTCGAGCTTCTACCAGTACATAATTATCAAGGGGATGTATACAAAAACTTTTCTTAGCAAACTTTCCGTTATCGGACTAGTTGCAGCGATACATCTAAGCGGATAAGAAATTTCGGTCGCCTCCCCGAAGGCTATTATTCCGTTTATTTTTCCACAGTCGGGTCAATAGAGTACCCACCGCGCGATTTTTGCACCTACACCGAGCTGGACTTTATCGACCGCTAAGTTTTCCGAAGGACGATAACTTTCCGATGGAATTTATTTAATCTCCATCGGGCATAAAGTGTTTTCGTAGGGGGATATACCGCGGGCGCGGAGAGTCGAGTTGTTGCTCTAAGTTTTATTTGCTTTCAATTTCAATTCTCCGAGGTGAAATGAACGTTTCGAAAAATTGCGATTTCGATCGAGTGATGTCGTTCCTGAAAGGAGGTGTTTAAATTCGACATTCGCCTGGTTCTTAATTAAGGAATTAAACTGTCCGTGTATCGGTTACCTGCTGGAGGTGTTGTGATTTAAGGACCTTTGAGTACGGGAACTATCCGCAGGCCGTTAGTTCGTCTAAAATTAGAGCAATTTCATGTTCTTTGCAGAGTGCCTCGCGAGGCGTGAGTAACACAAGGTCTCATTAATATAATATTCACGATCCAGATTGTTTTGACACCGAGTGTGTTGTGTACCCGCCAGAGAGTGGATTTTACGGCGTATTCAATTACACAGGACGACCTTCGTCCTGTTGGTTTTAGTTTAATCCCTTCTCTGCGATTATGAGCGAGTACACAAAAATGTGCTTTACACCTGATGATGGTTCGTTAATTACCGAAACATGTCTTGTTCTATGACAATTCTGGACATTAGTTTCAGAAGTTTCATTAAAAATTTGTTGGAATATCTCCTATATTTTGTTCGGTAAAACTACTGGAGACTGGTAGGTAATTGATAAAATCAAAAATCAAAAAACTATTGTGTTTTTTTGAAGTGTTTTCTTATTTAAATCCGATTTATTACAACATAAAATTTAACCGTTGAAGCGTGCATTTTCTTGAGAAACGTATTCCCCGTCACAAACGTTCAAGCCGCAAAATGGATTTCTAAAGAATGAGCCGCCGGAAATCACACAAGTTTATAGAAAATCGTCGGGAGCCGAATGGAAAAGTTTGTCCAACCTTTCAACTGTCGCATTTCCATGTCGCATTCGTGCCGAGCAGACTTTAACATTTGCATTTTTATTTCCCGCAAATGTACATTGTGCAGGGGTTTTCGTTCGCGCTCTTATCCGAGTGCATCACTCGTACCTTCGCCGGATATCGAAAGCGCAATGCATCAACATCCCTAATTACGCGTGTTCCTTCCCGTTAATACTCCCATACTGTATAAAAACAGTAATTAAACTCTCTAACAAAGTTCGTTAAAATAAAACGGACATTTATCTGCTTCTTGGATTTCCAGGAAAACATTTACATTCAAACTGCAATCAACACGCTCACAATCAGGGTTTAGTGTTGTCGGGCATTTATTTCCAAAGTTAATTAGTCCCTACGAATGGAAATTATAATGTACACTTGGAAGTTGTAATTTAACTACGCTTCCTTACGAGCTACTTTTGTTCTTAAATTTTAATGATTAGTCGGATAATATTGCTGAAACATAGGGTTTTGTTTCAACAATAGTTTACACAGAAATTTTAGTATTTTATTTATGCGCTAAATAAACGAAAATATACATTGCGAAATCTATTCAGGATATCACCAAAAGCGATAAAATAACTCCTAATTTACCGTTTCCTTTTTATGTCGCAACAACAACATTTTATACTAATTAAACGGGATCCTCGTGGGCCTTTTTTCCTTCCACGCCGCCTTTAAACATTCTTTATTTCGCGAGTTTTCATTAACCCGCTAGGCCTCCGATTCTAATATCACTTAACCTAAATTTATATCGAGCCCCGCGTTGACTCCCTGCCAAGATATATCCCGAAAAACGGGCAACTGGCCGTTAAAAATGCGTCGGATAAACGCACCGAATAATTCATTGGGGCCCCGTTCTGGTGGAAAAACCGGCTGCAATATTTACGAAGACAATATCGAAAGCGCTAGGATAACGCTAATCGGACGGCTGAAAGGGCGCAAAACGTGTTGATTGCAATTTGAATTTAAACGTTTGCCGGAGAAATTAAAAGGAGGAGCGTAGAGGAGATAAATGCGGTGTTGTTTAGCTTTTAATTAATGCCTAACTTCGTACAGTTAAAGTTTAATTAGGTTGCCTTTTTATGCCGGAAATAATTTCCCTTTTCTACGAAACGTGTGTTGTATACGCTCTAGTGGAAATTAAAGGATAAGATAATCGAAATCCATAAAATAAGTATTAATTAGTTGGAAGAAACAATATAGTGTGTAATAATATTAACATACAGTTTATTCTACAACAAAGTTCTGTGACATCACCATCGAATTAGCTAGAAACTACTATAAACTTGCATGAAATAAATTATATTTACTAATTAATAAGTGTATCTGCTTTTGAAACTTGGATAGGTACAAATACAACTTGCTGTATACAAAAGTCATCAAGATGTGTATTAATAGTTGGAGCTGTCAGTTACAGAAATTACTATTTGATTATTCGACGTGGTTGTTGAACGAATAGTTAAGTCCTCCTACAGCATCCCCCAAATAGGCCTGTTCCGGCAGCAACAGAACTAAAATTACTCCGATCATTGGGACTTTTGATAAGTTGGTTATTCTAACTCAGCGTTGCCAACATACTTTTTTAAGCTACTCTAATTATTGGGACTTTTGATGAGTTGGCTATATGTCTACTTATCGAACCCAGATTAATACACCAGATGATAATTAATTCGGGATCACAATAACACATGATTAAACAGAGCATATCAATTTCTCCATATGAGGTTTCGATCGTTGTTGTTGTTATTAATAAGGTAATACAATCGTTTTCTTAATTAATCGATGAAGAGAAATTCTGATAGCTACTTAGAATAATAGGAAACAAAGGGAAACCAGCAGATTAATCTTAATGCGTGGATATGTGTTAATTATATCCAATGTGTTAGTTATCTATTAATAGTATAAAATGTGTGTAGTTTAATAAAATTGTAAATTTATTAAATAACGAAGGAAACTACAAAGAACGACTTGATTAAAACGAGTAGTCGCAATCGATATGAAGAACAAAAATAAATCAAAAGGAAGCGAAACAATAAAGGTGTTGCAAAACGTTTCCAATCATTTGCAGAATAAGTGCAGAAAATGAACATCTGATAACCCAGAGGGGCCGCCTTTGAAGAGTCTACAATAACCTTATTTCATTTGACAATTTCCGTTAACGAACACTCCAGTTCTCATTGTCGAAGACTCGATGTTATTTACTTGGACGACGCTAGCCGGATGAGACTCCATTGACAATTTCTGCACGGAAAGTCGAAATGGACCCGACGGGTCGCTTTTGTTTTCGGAAAAGCGGGAGCGAGCGAATAAGCGCTGTAAATAAACCGTTTTCCGTCCGTATAACCGAGTAGTTTTTGGTTAATTAAAAAATATTAAAATTCGATTCGGGTGTCGAAGAAAAACAATTTGTGCTTGGGGTGGAATGGAATTAAAGGGCGTTGAACAATGACGAGCTTTTTACAAAAATCAATGGTGAAAGTAAACGAGTTTTCAGAGTTTTTGATGTTTATTAAAGTCTTTAATTATTTGATACATTATTTTTATGTTACTTTAATTATACTCCGTTCGGCATCAGGAGGCAGTAATAAAACCTTCTTGAAACACCGAACCATAGGCGCACCAGCAAATAAATCGTACTCGTACTGTCTTTTGCACATTTTATTACAATCTCTTGATTGCGAACGGAGTATAGCACCATTTATTTGCATATTTTTCAATCTCTACATCCACACTTTTTATCAAATTCATCGCCCCGACAAACTACTCATTTACATTTACAACGCTCATTTATTTGTATCGCGAATTCGCCTCGCGGATTTTCCTCTCTCCGCAAGTTTGTTGGACCATTATTATTTCTAACTCAATCATCTCTTTTGTCCTTCGCCCAAAAATCCTGATCGGCCAGACAAAAGAAGCGTATCATGCCGGTTGCCGCCCCCTTTGTGATGGTAAATCTTTTATTAATTACTGATGAAAATGCAAATCGTTGGAAACCCGACCTTCAATTTTATTGTACGAGGCCCTAATAAAGGAAGGTATTACGGCGAAACTTGAAACATAATTTTCGACGGGCCGGCGCCCAGCCATTCAGGCGCGGATTTACACCAGAACTTACACAAAAATTATTCAAATATCCTCTATTAATTGATTTAGTACCACAATTATTATTACAAGAATCATTAATCGAATTACATGACGTAATGAAATATACATTTTTGACATTTAAATCCTCTACATACTACCAATAACAGTTGTTATTAATATTAAAAATAATACTGATAAAACAAACTATTAACTCCCCCAGTTTAGTATTACATAATTAATTAAAGATTGTTTTTTTCGTGGGTTTTACTGGGCTGGGACCGGACCTGAGCGCGGCTCAGCGCTCGTATTGTGCAAAAGTAGAGAAACGGGACCCTTTGAAGCAGGAATTAGTTTGTGTAATTGCGAGAAGATGCAAATTGGTATGATGAATGGGGATCGCGGAGAAAAGGTTGCCCGGGTGATAACAGGGCATTTACGTTCCGTTTAGTTGGTACTCCGCAAACAAAATAATTTTTGCGAGGTGGAAATTTATCGGTGCGGAATCCACCCAGCCGGGAATGTTTATTAGTGACCTATTTATCTACACGATTCGTTAACATTTTACTTGTTTACAGTAAATGACGATGAGAGTTAATTTTAATTATAACATTTTTGATTTGTTTGAAATAAATTGTGGCTTATGGCAAACGAAGGTAACACCTCTTTTGATCCAATGTTTGTGCATAGGCAATTTAAACAAATTAACGTTGCAAATAAAGGAATTGAAATCGTGCGTTTGAAGTAAAGGGAACTCGACGGCCCCGTCTAATTCCGAGCATAAAACAGGTTGCAAACGAATCGGCGGAAGGGCATTAAATAATTCAGACGTTGCCTCGCAGAATCGCTGATTGTCTAAGTCCCATTTGGAGTTGCCCGCAAAAAGGCCCGTAATTGAAATGCCATTTTCCGGATAAATTTCATTATTACTATTTACAATTGCGGAGCGAAACGTTACATCTTCTGCAGGAATTCCGCCGACTTCGGATAGTTTCAATTTAATTCTGGATAGCAACGCTCTCGGTAATGCAAATGCCGCTAACCATACGCAATTTTCGTCGAATCGAAAATTCCTCAAATAATTGATTTTCTCATTGAGAGTTCCGAGGAAATTGCTCAGGGTCTCGTTGGTGGCGTGAAATAAAATTTCCCAACCTCGAGGTACTAGCGAATTGTAAATGCTCGTTGCGGTACAATGGATTTCCTCGGTGAAACCTATCTCTCCTTTTAACGACTTTTTAAGGAGTTTTAAAGAATTTAATATGTTACCTAAAACATTATTGTATCTAGCAAATTCGTATTTCAATACAACATCATTATTAATTTCTAATTTGTTCGGGAGCATATTAAATATCTCCTCAACTTTATCGAGTAAATAAGTTTGGTAATTTTCAATTGGAGTTTTATTTTGTATACACCACACAATTGACATCGTATTAACTACTTCTTTCGATATATTTTCCCAGCGAACCGAACACAATTTTTTATTAACACCAAACAATTCGGCATTATCCACATCCGGATAACTTTTAATCGCCTTCAAGTAATCCAAATAATCCGTTTTCATCGGCAAACAATACTCCTTCAATTCGTTATAACAATACTTCTTGCTCCTGATCACCTCGACGTTTATGAAATCCTTCAAAAGTAACTCGATACATTTCAAATCCCGATGCCCGCCGTACTGGTAGCTTCCGATAATCTCGGCGACGCGATCGCAGGAAACGCTATTCGCCAGCAATTCCTGCAGCAATTTCGCTGACATTTCGAACGCGTCGTCGCTGTAATTGCAAGGGAAATTCCACAAGACGCGGTCGTATTTGCGCCGCTCGATCAAGCAACAGTGAAAGGCCACCAAACCGAACAACAATTTGGTGAAAACGTCCTTCTTGCCCGGCGTGCTACCGCAGAAATAATCGCAAATATATTCCTTCTCGAAGTAGCTAGCGAGAGTACTCTTGAAACTTCCACCGCAATCGTAGGTAACTTTGATGCTTCTCTGCAACAAATTAACGGGTAAATCAGGGGAGTTCCCGGTGCTCAACCAAAGCCTGAAATTGTTGTTGGTGTTGTCGTAATTCATGCATTCCAGTTGCTTTTCGAGATCCCTCACCCACAACAAATCTAAGTGGCAGTTCTGGAAGAGGATCCAGTAGCCCTTCTCCTGCGCTTCGAGCAGGAACCGGCGCCAATCGGGCGTTGTGGAATCGCCGATGCAAAGCGATCGGAACGTGTGGGAGAGCTGCTTCTTCTTCACCAGCAGGCGAAGCTCGTCGAGGGACTCCTCGGCGTTGCTGACCAGCAGGATGGGCGACATGCAATTGGAGTCGTTGTAAATTCGGTTTAGCCGGAGCCGGGGCGGGTCGAGGAAGTCCTCTCCGAGTTCGAGCCGGACGAACAGTCTCATGTGGTGGTGTAAGTGATGGGGTTTGAATGTTTTCGTTAGCACGAGCGCTTGGAAATTGGATAGAGGGCGTCGTAAATCGGGGGCGAGCGTAAATGATGCGTTGTTTAAGTATGTTTTCCACGCGGCGAAATTTATTCTGAGATTCGATCGGAATTTGTGGAATACCGGTAGATTTTCCAAGGCGGCGAGTTCCAACCAGGAACATCCATCGGAGACATTCGAGAGAAAAACAGTTAACTCATCGCTACTTATGGATTTGTTATGCATTAGTATAGTTATAGTTAGCATAAAGGCGAAGGTGAATTTATCTTTCTCGAATAGGGTGTAGTTTATTTTCGAGAAAATTTCCTCGGTGAATTTCCGCTTGATGTTCTCGCATCTTTTCGCTACGATTTTCGATTTTTCCGCGTACAAAATCGTCTGGTAGTAGGTGTAAAGGAAGCACTCGAACGAGAATTGGTAAACGTGGTTAACACGCTTCAATTTACTAACGAATAAATAAATATCAGTAACGAAATTCGCCACGCTTTTATACTGATCAGCGAACTCGAATACCGAGCGTTCCGCTTCGAGCGCACCCTCGTAATCGCTCCTCAGGGTCTTCAAACTTATCTTGTAATTCTCCAATATTTTAATGGATTCTTCGTCTTCTAATATATCGGCTTGAGAGGAGCATAAAGTTTGCAATATTTCCTTTTCGGTGTTAGATATATCTAATTGGTGTTTGTTTTTCTTGCTGTAGATTTCCTTTTTGCGTTTCTTCAGCGTGGGTTTTTCAAATTCGCTAACCATTCTCAAGAAACGCTTCTTCAAATATGTAGAAGATATCGCGAAATTGATGATGGTAATCTTATTAATTAACTCCGGTAGAAAATTCGGGTTGGATACATTACACGTTAAATACAACCTAAAATTCTCATTAACTCTAACACTACTGTTGTTAATATTAACAAAAGTAGCTCCGTCTTGGTTAAAGCAATGGTTCGAAATAAAATCGTACAAACAACGAGGGATATTATTAATTTTGTTAATTAATATAGGTCTACCTGATTCAACGCAATTTATTAATACACTCAAACAATCTTGTGAGAACGTGGTGACTACCAAATGGTTACCTTTCTCGCTTTTTCTTATCCACTTCTCCGCTTGGTAATCGGGATCGATGAAGATCGAACGCTGCTTGGAGAAATCGCAAATAAGCACGTTTTCTTTGAAGAACCGGTCACGCAGTAATTCGCTTTGTTGCTTCGACTCTAGATCGATTTTAGAAGAGAAGCCCAGCTCCAGTTCGAATTGATTCGAGCAGGGCAGGTGCTCGATTACATGTTGATGCCATCGTTTAGTTACTTCATTTCTCGCTATAAAATCTAGCGGAGATAAATAAGCCACTATGCCGGCAGTTAGAGCTACGTTGCCTAGTAGTAGCTCTTGTTGTTTTTTTAATTTCTTCACTGCATCGGTCCACCTGAGCTGCTCTTCGCCGAGACTCCCCAGCAGCTTTTGCGCGCTGATCAATTTCTTATTGCACGTATCCACTTCTCTTTGCAGTATCAGCTGCTTCTTGTTGGATTCATCTAATAGAGCGTTCAGCGCGCTCAACTTCTCCTCGATCCTCTTCACCTCGTCCTTCTTCTGGTTGAGGATCTCCATCGTATTGGCGTACTCTTTCTCCGCTTTCTCCAGCTTCTCCTTCTTCGGCGCCACTTCCTTCGCCACTTTATCGTACATATCCATGGCTATGATCCACTTGCACAGCCCCTCGGCGGCGCTCGACGCCTTGGCCACCACGTGGGGCTTGAAGTCCTTGTGCGGCAGGAAGTCCTTGCGGATTTTCACCATCAACTCGGCTTTGATGTTGTCCTTGTCGAAGTCCTTGAGCGTCTGCAGGAAATTCATGTCGCCCAGGACGCGCTTGCTGGGGCCCCAGTAGTCGAAGGTCTTCCTGCCGGTGCTGGGGTCCGGTATCCTGTCGGGTTTGATGTCCTTGATGACGCACACGGCCGCCATGACGAGTTTGATGGCGTCCGGGGGGTTCTTCATGGATTTCACCAGGGTTATGTCGGAGGGTTTCAGTGTGTTTAGGGCGGATATGGCGTCTTCTAGGATCGGTATGGCTTGCGCTAGCTCCGATTCGCATTCGGATTTGAGATTTTGGGCTACGATGGCTTGCTGGCAGGCGATTTGCTCGTCTTGGCGGACCAGCTCCGAAGCCTTCTCGACTTCTATGGTCTCGAGGGCTATTTGCTCGGTCATTTCCTTGGCTTTGGCCGTCATCTCGGCTAGCTGGGGCGTGTAATCGGCTAGTACTCGCTCCATGTCTAAGATCTGGTTGGCTGCGTAGGATAGCTTGCCGAGACCTTGGGAGAACGTATCGATTTTATTCTCGATTAAAGTTTTCTCGTTGGAGTATAATTCCGAGTGCAAGTCGGTTAGATGGATGAAGTAAATAGGGGAAATGTGTAATTTGAGAGGTAGATCGATGGAGAGCTGTTGGAAGTGGCGGTGGAAATGGATGAAAGTGTCGATGCAATTACTATTGTCGATTTTCCGCTTGGCTATTTCTCGTAGAGCCTCGTCCGGCCAATCGTCCCAGAAAATCGTGTGGCAGTTTTTAAGCGATGGGAATTTGTAGAAGCGGTTCCTGAGTGTTTTGGATTCGATCGAAAGCGATAGTATCAGATGCAGGTTGTACTTGCATCGCGCCGTAAAGTGCATGAACACCGCCGACGTGCTGATATCCAAGTTCCTGTTGCCGCCTTGGGCGGATAATCGCGACAATTCCAGTATCTCCTGCTTCTCCTCGGCCGCGAAGATATCGCAAACATCGCCGGTTCCCAGCAGCAAATCCGCGTACTGCAGGAATTCTTCGTCTATCACATCCCGCTCGTCGACGAGGTAAACTAATTCGCGTTCGACGGCGCCGGCTTCTTTCAAAACCCGCTTCAGGTCCTTCTTCCAATTATCGATCGCGTAGTTTTCGGTTATTAGCGGCTGGTAGATCGGATAGCCGTAAACGTGCGAAACAAGTTTGATTAACGATGCTTTCCCGAGCCCGCTGGCGCCCAAAAACAGCGCGTTTCCCGGCCGAATCGAAAGTACTCGAGTGATTCTGATAATTTTTTCTACGGCGTACTCGAAATACGCCACGTTAATTTTAATCGAATTGGAATTGTTGTAGCGCAACAACTCGTTGTTTAGAGTGTCTATTAGAGCAGTTCTGTCTAATTCCTCGTATTTTTCTTTATCGTTGATTGTAGTTAGGGTTATTTTGGACAACTCGCTTAGTTCGTTAGCAATCTCGTTGAAATTCGAGTCTAAAATATCTCTCACGATATCCTCTAATTCGCAAATATCCCGAGCATCCAACCGGTTTCCGAACACTTTGAAGCATTCGTTTACCCACAACTTCGCGCTGATTTTTTTATTGGCATCGTAGGTTTCCTTTCTCAGCAATCTACAACCATCGATCACATCGGAGATGTTGTTGAGATTGAAGCAGTAATAAGGGCGCTTCAGGGTGGCTCGGAAACGGCTCGAAATTTTCCTGTACGCCTTGCAGGTGGCGTTAACGATTTGATTTGTGAGGTTGGTAACGTCGCTGGGAAACCCGCCGCGGCGCCAGAAGTGCAGCAAAACGTTGCTGTAGATTCTCGAGACGGTATCATCGGTGACCTCGTTGAAGCCGAACACGCGGAAGTGCTTCAAGAATCTCCGGTTGATGGATTTGTTGGGGATGGAGTTGTCCATGGCGGAGATGAGGGTGAGATTTTCGATGGATATTTCGCCGGATCGGTCGAGGTCGTACCAGATTTTGTGGTCTAAATGTTGGCGTAGTAGCTCGATGCATTGGGAATTGTTATATTTATCTGACGGTGTTTGGTGTAAATTATCTATGAACATTGCGAAACGTTTGTTTTTGGACGGGCAGTATACGCCGCCTTGTTTCTTGTTTAACTTTGATAGAACGTTTTCCTGCAATTCTTTCGAGTTTAAGTAGGTGTTGGAATTTATGTGGGAAACGTCCCATTTGTCTTCCTCCAGTTTTGTCCGTAGGATTGTTTGAATTATGGCGGTTTTACCGGTACACGTAGGTCCTATTAATAAAACCGGTAGATTATTGTTTAGCAGCAAGTTTATGATATTTATGTATTTTAAAGTTTCCACTGTGGGCACGAATATGTTTTTCACGTAGGGCATTTCGAACGGTTTTTCGGCTTTAAGCAAGTCTTGGCACGATTTCCAGTTGCCTCTTTGTTTGTAAATGTACTGATACTCGATTATTAGACCGTCCTGGGGGATTCCCACTTCGAGTTTCGCAAACGATTTAGGATAAGGATATAACTGATTTTGGCCCCTCCACAACAACCTGTAGAACTCATCAAATTTCTGCCTCGATGCCACATCCAACAAAGAACCCATTCCCAACATTCCAGTCTGGATAATAGTCGCCTGGATCCAAGTCGTTAAATTCTTCCAATCCTCTTCTCTCTTATTCCTCGAACAAGCCTCGTCCAGAACCAATGTGGTCAAGTCTATCACGTTATTCACCAAATTTACATCGCTAATCGCGTAGAGAGCCACGCAATTCTTCTGAATAAATTCTAAACAAGCCCTCAGCAACCAACATAATATATCTCTAATGTACTCACGATGCTCCTTCATCCATTCGGACTTGCTGGTATCGCTCCACGATAGGACTATTACTTCCCAATCGGTTGATTTGTAATTGATGTATACTACAGTTGAATGGGATATCTGGAAAAATATACTTCGAGTCAGTATGAATAGAGCAAATTGAAGTAATAGAGCTGGTAGAATAACGGTGATTCTTGGAGAAATGGGTCCAGAAAAGACCTAATAAGAAGCTACTATTTAAACTTTTATTAACAAAAAATCTAGAAGTTGAAGGAAGACCTGTTTTGGAGATGATTGGAAATGAATTTGCTCGGATACAAGGTAAAAATGTGTCCTATAAAAGTCTTAAATGAACCCACAAGACTCAACCATTATATGCAAAAATATCTAATAAACAAAAAAGAAAATCCTCACCGCCACTATAACCCTCAAAAATCAAATCCAACTCACCATCGACGGAGAGCAATGATTCAGATCTTCCACCTCGAACACCAGCCTGGTCTTCGGGCGCATCGCCAGGATCTCCCCGGACTCCAAGTGCAATTTCCGTTCTTTGAGAACGCCGATTACGTTCTCGATCCAATTATAATTAATGCCCCCGTCGAAAACTATCAAACTATCCGTATCGTCCGCGGTGCTCGATCTGAGTAATTTCGTTACGACTCCGTCCTGCCATTCCGAGCAATCAGTGAAGCGCCCGTACAAACTGCGATAATCGAAGCAATTCGGCGTTACGTAGGATAATTGCAGACGGCAGTTCGATTTTTCGAACAGCTTCGCGCAGAGCTTGATGGCGGTTGTTTTGAAGCTGGTTAACGAGCCTGCTATTACTAGAGACGGGTTGTGCTGGAGGGTTTCGTACACTTCGCGGATTTTACTGCCGAGTTCTTCGTTGTATTGGAAATTGTCTTCCCCGCAGAGGGTTTTTATTGCTTCTTGGAATGTAGTATCGTCTTTTGGTATTATTAGGTTTGAATTCGGGAATAGTGAGCGTGAAATAGCGTGGAATTCTGCGTGGTATTTATTTGGGATTATTCGAGCTATGGTGTTATTGAGTGCGGTGAGGATAACGTCGTTTTGGTTGAAATTGTTAGTTTTCAATTTGGAGCATTCTGCGAGAATTCTCGTGTATTTGCCCAAACCTTTGATGTAGCTCAATTCTTCCGATGCTACATCGATTATGTAATTGACTAGATAAGTAATCTTTTTCGCTAGTATACGAGGTGTACTAAACCCTTGGATTTGCAAGGTAATTTCCACAATTTTCTCCACATCCGGTGCAATAATCGCAGTAACTCGAAACAAATTCTTAACGTTATCCGGCAGCTCGTCAAACGAATTTCTCTTAGTACTTACGCATATGAAACAACTCGGTTTGAAGCTCAGCAAATCCTCGCCGATCCTACAGTGTTGCGAATTCTCCTTTTTCGCAGTTTGCACGCTAAACAGGTACTCGCTTATCGACGATACCGTGCTCGCTTTCAAGCTGGCGAAGTCCTCGAAATAAATCCACGAACCGTTCAACAGCGCGCCTCTTACGAATCTTTCGATTACCGCGCCGCTTAATCCTTCGCTGCAGCCGAATTTCACCGCGTAATTGCCGAAAATCGACGCTAAAATTTCGAGCGTCTCGTATTTGCCGCAATCCTGCTCGCCGGTGATTAAACCGAAATAATTCATGCAGAAAGTACTAATTAACATTCGGTGCGCCCTTTCGGTTGCCGATGTTATTATGTACCGGAAACTTTCCAGATATTCGTACGCGTAATCGATGGCGAAGTTCATTACGGCGACTTTAATAAGGCCGTTTTTTAAGCGGTGCTTGAAGCGCGCTTCCCATTCGAAGTTGTTCGCTGATATTGCTCCGCTGCTGAGGATCGTTTCGATTGCGTTTTTTAAATGGATTTCCGCGGTTATTACGCTGTTGATTTTGTGTTTGTTGTTGTTGGTGGTGTTGGTTAGGTGTTGGATTTTTTCGTTGATTGATTCTTGTAAGTTGTTTGCTTGTATTTTAAGGTGCTGGTGCGAGTTTAGGCACAAGGCCATTTCGATGTTTTCGGTCCAAATGCAGTTCGTTGCTACTGTTAGCGTTTGTTCGGTAAAATCGTTGATTTGTTGCGGGAATTGTTGTGTTGTGAATGTTTTTAAGCATTCTATAATTTCGTTTTTGAGTGTTTCGATTATTGTGGATTCCAGAGCTTTGAATGTCTTTTCCAAAGTTTCTTCGATAGGTATCGGATTTGTTAACTGCAAAATCTCGTTTCTGTTGTTGCTGATGCTTGTAATTTGATTGTTTTCGATTATCAAATTTCGTACACCTGGAAATAGTTTCGTTAAAAATACGTCCGATAGTAAAATATTTCTCACATTTGATACTGCTTTGATTATTTCGTCGTTTGAGATGAAATAAAATCGAGGAAAATTCTTACGTAGAGTATCCAAATAATAACGTACACCTTTAAATATAACGTCTAAATAACTAATGCAAGTTTCTAAATCTTTAGTTAGATTACTTTCGCGTACTATTTTAATTACGTTCAACTCACTTTCGATTAATTTAATCGATTTATTATAAACATCGATAACTCGTTTCAATAAATTCGTTTCATTCGGTATGATCTCGTTTAAATCTTGTATGGAAATCAGAGGGAACAATTTTAATAAAATATTTTGAATTTTGCTCCAATATCGCACAGTATCGGATATCCTATTAATAGTCTCATGAAACTCGCTCACTTCTTTTTCGAACGGCTTCACAAACACCGAACCTTGCATGTTAAAAATAATCGTATTCTGATCGTTAAAAACAGTTTCGATTTCATCCAAACCAACCAGCACTTTCAAACCGTACGCTCCATCAGCAGAAACCTGGAAATCGATACCCTCCCACTCCTCCTGCAGCGAGCGCAACTGGCCCAGCAGCAGCGTCTCCTTCGTAGCGCCGACGCTGATGATCTCGTACTCCTGCAGCCTGCCGAAGAAATCCACCGCCATGATCTTCCGGAGGGTGGCGCCGGCGTCGGGGGCGACGTCCGCCCCGGCGATCTCCGACAGCGCCGACCAGTGCCTCTCCCTCAGGCACTTGTTGCAGATGATCCGCATCACCTCCACCGTCGGCTTGAAGTCCTCGATGCGGCGCAGCGCGGTGCCGCAGAGCTTCAGCGGCGCCGGCCAGTTGAGGATGTCCGGGTCGTCGACGGTGCCTTTGAACTTCAGCGGCAGGTTCTCGTCTTGGGCTTGGCGCAGCTTCTGCCGGTAGATCTTGTAGGTGTCGGTGAGCTCTTTGTGGTATCGCTCCACGGTGGTTTTGGTGGAGGCGTAGTCGAGGTTTTCGAACGGGCCGTCTTGCCAAGCCGATAGACTGAGGTCTACTTTGAGGCAGAGGTGGAGCAGGTGGTGAAAGGGGTAGATGTATTTCTTTAGTTCCTCGTATTCCGGGTATGTGGATTTTGGAAAACTGAGGGTGGTCTGGAAAGAGAGAAAGTAGAAATTAGTGATAGTAAAGTGATTTTTGTAAAGATTGGGATGATCACAAACAAGCGTTGTAAATAGCATACAGAAATCTTGAGAATCCCAAAAATATATCTTCAAAATTAACCCATAACACTTGTAAGTAGAGCCTTTCCAAAGTCAATTAAATATGGTATAGAAACAACAAAAACACAAAATTACCTCCTCCTGATTGATCCACTCGATTTGCACCTCGATTTCCCTAATCTTCTTCATATGCAACGTAATAAAATGTATATAACTATGGCAACTAGCAATATTATCCATATCGTCCAGATAAGCGAGCAACGGAAACACCTTCCTGATCATCTCGCCCACGTCCTCGACGGTCCTCTGCAGCCGCTCCTCGGCCTCGTACTTCATCGCATCGAACGCGCCGGTATAATTCTCGATGACGGGCGCGATTTCTTCCAGCCACCCTATCGATCGGCAGTTCAATTCCCGGTGCTGGTCGCTAATCAGGCCCAAATCTATGATGCGGCACAGAGACAACAGGGCCTCGTGCACTCTTTGTTCGAGTGCATCCGATCGCTCGGTTTTCACGTAATTCATGTATTTGCCGGTTTCGACCAGCTCCTCGGTCGTTTCCGGCGCCAGCCCGGCCCGCAGCCTGATGTGATCGAAGCTCTCGCACAAATCGTTCACCTCCCAGTAGTGCTGGTTGGCCAGCTTCTCGAATACCAGGTCGGCGTTGCTGGTGATGGCGTCGCTTAATTTACTTTTGTAGTTAACGAACGATACTGTGGCTACGCGGAAGAATTCGTGGTCCGGTATACGAAGGGTTATTCCCAGGAAGCGCTTGTAATGGTTGATGGCTTCGCAGCCTTCTTCTATTGTGATATCGGCGATGCTCTCCAGGAATTCGCTCGAGTTGAGATTTTTGTATATACAGCACAATTTGTCGTCGATGTTGTGCAAATATTGGAGGATTGTTTCGTATTGTGAGGTTATGTTGCGTTTAATTTGAGTTTTTGATGATATTATGAATTCTTCTGTTATGTATAAATTGATTTTTTCTGGGTATTCTTCGATGCACAATTCGCTGCAACATTCTAGTAGGTCATCGATGAGATTGTTGTAGGTTGTTTCGAGTTTTTCAGAAGTAGGGTTCATTATAAGATTGTTATCTTCGAAATTTATTTCTATGAATAAATAAGATTTAGGTATTTTAATAATTGTAAAATCTACGATACTGTTAATAGTTTCCATTACGCTCGTACTTATATGTAAAATTAATAAACCTTTGATGATATTGCGAATATTAGAAGTAATCCTCTTCTTCTCTGTCATTATAACTTCTCTAATGTTTCTGTAGAAATCGTTGATAATACTTTTAGTAAGTTCAACAAACTTGTCGAATTGCTTTTGGATTTCGTCGATCGCCATCACATCAGCCGGCTCGAATTGGAAAAACCTCGCCGGTAGATTCGTAATGCACTGTCCCTGAATTTTCCTAATAACACCACAATGCAGCAGCCATCTCCTGCCCAATATCTTCCTGATCACCAAAAACTCGCTATACCGCTCCGTGCGCCCGGCGAATTTAAACGGCCCGACGACGAATCGCCCCTCCGATTTGATCTTCAGGCTCATCCCGGTGCGCCTGATGACGTTCCCGTACTCGCTTTTCACCTCGCCGATAAACTCCTCCACCGTTCGCGGGTGCTCGTCCTCCAGGCCTCTCGCCTGGATCCTCCGCCGGATGTTCTTCTCCTCCGCGCGCGGCAATTCGATGGAGAAGGGCCGGCAGGCCGGGCGCGCCAGCTGCACCGAATTCGAGGGGCCCACGTACAAGTGGAACCTTCCATGGCGAAGCGGAGTCGCGGAGGTTCTTCTGCATTTTTCGTACATACTTTCGAGCAATTTCCGACGCTTCTCCCGCTTGGCTTCGAGTAGTTTGCTCACCTCTCTCGGCACGTTTGTTAGTTCTGTTTCGTGCACTTGGGTGAGGGGGAACTTGGAGAAGAGGTAGGATAGTTTCTTGCGTTTGTTGTCCATTTTGCACCAGGCACTCGGGTAAAATGCGCGTCTGGTTGTTGCTACACGGAAGTGTATCGATTAAACGTTTCTATGTTAACAAGAGCGGCGTGAAGTTGGCTACAGCAGAAGTTATTTCCAGCTGTTAAATACAGTTCCCTTCTGCGCTGAAAAAAAAGTGAAAGCGCAATGCTTTTAGAAGAAAATGAGAGCAAATATAGCAAAATGTTGTTGTAGAAAATTATATTTCCTGTTTTTGTTGTATAAATAAAATTCCTAAACCGATGGAATTGCGTTTGTTGATCAAAGCGGCGTATTCTAATTGCGTTCTGGTATCCGCTATTATTTCCCCATAATAGCGGCTAGTGACTTAATAGGGCAGGAGCAAGTCGGGTATCAAATCATTATTGCTGAAACTAACGGGATCCTTATCGGGGACCATAACTACGGGTTATAGTGTTATTGAATTACGTCAAGTGGAGATCCTCTTGTAATTGCCAATATAATGCCCGACTAGTTGACAAGATTAGGTTACAAGGCCGTGTTTCGGCGAGGTAATTTGCAGCGACAATAAAATTTGAATTTAATTGGCATCGCGTTTGCGCTAATATGTCTGGATATGTCGATAATTCCAATTTGTAGATACATTTGTCTCATACATAATTTATTACTACGAGAAATGTATCTCCCAATTTTTTTTATACAGAGTGTTAATTAATCGAGTGGCGATACTTCAGGGTGTAAATAGTTGGATGATTTTAAGAAGAAAAGTTTGTATCAATATGTGTCCTAAACCTCTTAATTTTCTTCTGCCTCAAAAAATGCTCCTTAATAATTAAAAAGTGTATACAAAATTTCATAAAAAATATCTGGGCTGTAATAAGAAAATTATGATAGAAAAATTATTTTTTTCCTAAAATTGTAACACCCTGTAGTTCGAAAACTAAGATGTTTAGTACATATATTGATATAAACTTTAAATCATCCTAGTATTCACATCCAAGCATCGGCACTGAATTAACACCCTGTATTCACTCTTTATTATAATGTATTTTTTTAATGGATCCTTTATTAATTATGCTCCATTCAATATTCTAATGATATCGTCCTTTCGCATTTAGGCGGGCTAATTGGATTGCTTCACATCTCCTGAAGGAAGGAATCATTTCCATTTCGCTTCGAGGGAGGCTGGAAGCGCCGAAATCATAAATATACAATAAAGCTTTTCGCGTATTTGCTCGCTTAATTTGTTTTTAATGTGTATCTGCGCGAAAAATCCGTTGCGCGCAAAATTTAGGTTAGTTTTTAATTAAAATTCTCTTTCGTCGAATTCGAAAGCGAACGATCGAGAGGAAGTAGGCTACCTGTAATTATTCTCCCAACTTCTCGAGAAGTGATAATTAGGAACGTAAAAAGCATTTTGCAGGATGTTCGAGGTTGGTTGATTGAAATTTCGATGGCGTTCATTAATATTAATATTTACGTTTTTCATTTGCACGGGGCGCTTTTCCGCTATTTCCGCCGCGCGCCGGACGGAAAACGTGATTTTAAAAGACTAATTATTAATGAATAACATTCGCAAAAAATTGCTTAGGTATTTTTTTTGGCTCATACTGTACTACTGTAGTTAATATAAACATCTAATGGGAGGATGCGAAATGAAGCGAGTCCTTTGAAGTTCCTTATCGCATTATATATGGAGTTTTTCGTCGCATTGCCGTGATTAAACCGCAGAGGCCAATCGCCTCATTTATACCGTGATGAAACTTATGAAGCATAAATCCGAATTATGGGACCGCAAATTTCGAGAAGCAGGAGTACTGGCGCTGTCCGTGATTTCTGGCGCATCGAACTTCCATGTAAATTCTCGCGTTCACCCGAAAATACAATTTCCATTGAATTATGTCGTCATTTATTCCGCGGAAAAGTCGCGTTCATTACGAAGTGAACACCGTTTCTATGAATCAAAACAAAGCTTCTATTATATTGTAAAAAATAAGTGTATAACGAACGAGCGTTGAGGCTAAATCGAGGGTAAAAATCAGATTAAATTAGATTGCGTAAATTAATCGAAAGTTAATTATTTTCACGCGTCGTATTCTCCCGTCTCCCGAACAAAGAGCGATTCTCTAACAAAACAGGGCCATACATCAAGTTTTCCGGAAAAGGAAAAACGAAAAAGCGCATTAGCATATAAAAAGAGTTCCGAGAGCGGAGAAAAAAGGCTAAAAACACCGGCGGTGTTAATTGTTTTAGGATTATTTTGATAAAAGATTGGGCGCATTTATTTCCTCGGCGCTCTTATCATGGAAATGAGATCCGAGTTTTCCGCCGTAATTAAAGCGCAATCGGCGATTATTTTAACTCGCGCGAATCGGGAAATTCTAATCGGCGGAATTTATGAAAATTATCGGGCGATGATCGATCAAAATAACAACATCAGTGGATTAAAACGCGTCGCAAACGGTTCGGAAAATCCACATAATCACTTACCTGGCGAATTTCTTCACAATGGCCCGCCGTTAAACAGCGACATTCGAAGCGAAAATTCCGCTTTGTCGGGGAAATACGCGCGCAACTTGGATGGAAAATTCGCCGTACGTGTAATAACAGAACAGAACGCGATGTTGGCGCAATGGAAACTTTATAGATACACTTACTTCATCCGATTATATGAGAACTTGTGTATCAACTAGTCGGTCGCAACTCCACACAATTCCACAACGGAAAGTTTACATGAAAAGCGAATTGCGGGAATGTTAGCGAAACTCCAACACAAAAATTTCATATCAAATATGTATATCGCGAACTATATAATTGTTATTAATTTTTTGTAGAAATGTAGATGTGTATTTTACAAGAAATTTATTTGACTTTCTGTGCGATTGTGTTAATGTTTGCGCCCTTCTAGCTTCGAAAGGCGGGTAATTGTTGCGTGAAAATTCAGCAAACATCAATGGAATTCTAAATAACGCGGGTGTACGACGAAGATTCTCGTTTACCCGCAAGACTTTAGGATTCCCGCGGTATTAGCGGTGGAATTTTGCAACAGTTAAAGACTCTATAACTTTGTTCCGCATTCGAAATATTAATTCGTTTCGCATGAACGATGGAAGGGTTTGTTTGGAGATGAGAAATTACCTTCACCTGTGTAAGTGCAATTTTCCGTGGAAGTTCAAAAAGAATCCGGCAAACAAGTTAATATTACTTTCATGTCGTAATTTAATGGCGAACGCAAAGAAAACCGATCATGGAGATGCCGAGTGGGAAGCCTTTGATCTCGCTGGCGACGGGACAACAACCTTTGATGTCTGCGAAATCCTTTTATTTTTCTGACAGATTCGTTAAAAGGCGCTAGAATGGTCTGAAGTGATTTAATATTGAAGTGGCTGTTTGCGTCCTCGTTTTTCAATAGACTGTAGATACCGAGTTGAATTTTTTTAACCCGCAAATTGGACGCTCGGCTAAAACACAGCGCCTTTATTATACTTATATAAAAATCCGGCATTTTTTTCTCCTACCGCGCGTATAAAAATAATTTTCTTCAACATCATACCGGCGGTTTGGAAACTTTAAAAGTCCCCGGGGAGCGTAATAAAGACGGAAACAAGGAAAAAGTGCAGATAAGAGTCCGGGGCCGGATGTCGAGTATACCGAAAACACGATTTTATTATGTCAACAGAAGTTTACCCTTATCTAAATATTCCCCAAAAGAATTACGCGCCCTTCGCCGAATGGACGGCGACACTAACGTAACAATTTCCACGTTTAAAAAAAGGACTTTTTTTAAACGATTAATAGTCCTGAGAGTTGGATTTTTTTTGTGATTTGAATCTCTATATACAGGGTGTTAATTAATTAAGTGCCGATACTTCAGGATGTAAATATTTGAATGATTTTAAGAAGAAAAGTTTATATCAATATATGTTCTAAACTTCTTAGTTTTCGAACTACAGTGTGTTAAAGTTTTAGAAGAAAAAAACTTTTATATCATAATTTTTTTATTAATTCCAGATATTTTTATGAAATTTCAGAGGCGGGCATGACTGGTATAATAGTAAAAAATTAATTTTTGTCCCCAAAAAAAGTGTTTCCATGCATGGTAGGCGCCTAACAAATTTCAACAAATTATCAAAAGCAGTTTCAATGAAGTTGGGAAAAAAATTTTTTATTTTTTTTACGCGAAAATGGTGCGTCGTACGAAAGTTAGTCTTCGGATCGAATTTGCTCCAAAATAAATGAGGATTTTAAAAATAATTTTGGTTTTTAGAAAAAGCAGTGGCGTACCATTTTTTCTTCAAACATATTCAGTTCAAACCCTGTACGGAAGTCACTGGTAAAAATTTTAAAAAATCTTCTGCCTCAAAAAATGCTTCTTAATAATTAACAAGTGTGTAGAAAAGTTCATAAAAATATCGGAAGTAATAAAAAAAATATGATAGAAAAGTTTTTTCAAAAACTGCAACACCCTGTAGCTCGAAATCTAAGAGATTTAGGACATATTTTGATATAAACTTTTCTTCTTAAAATCATCCAAATATATTCACATTCTGAAGTATCGGCACTCAATTAATTAACACCCTGTACATTCAATTTTTTAATAAAAAATTGTCAATTTGTTTCTTTCGCAAACCGCCTGTGTTCAATTCATATCGAATTAGTCGAACACAACGCGTCAATAAGAAAATGATGTTAATTCGATCGAAATTCGCGGAACGGCTGAAACAGCATACCTATGGTAATCCGACGAATTTCGCTCACTTAAAGCCCATTCGAACGTTCTCCTGTATAAATATTGCGGCCGCCCGACTGAGTTGTTGACATTCGCTGCGAGCATTTCAGATTTGTTTTGCTGAAAATTGCCTCCTTGATGTCGGCAGCCTGAAATTCCCGCCCCATTGTCATGTAAAGTCACAACCTCGTAAAATCGTGTTTGTTCCACGACGCACGAAAATGAATTCTAAAACGACAAAAAAAAAAAATTTCTGTATACGTAATTTCGCGAAAGAAACGTCTCCATT